ATAAATGAATAACGAATGTACTGTAATAAAAATCCGATGCCTTTTTATTCACTTATGAATAACGATAGCTGAAACTCTAAAAAAAAAAATTATTTTATCTTAAGACTATATCAATATGGATGTCTATTTATAGAAAATAAAAAATTATGAATTTTGACATATTTAAAATAATTTTTCGATAAAAATAGCATTCTAAAAATCAAAAAAACAAATATATATATATATATATATATATATATATATATATATATATATATATATATATATTTGTTTATTTTAAGGTAATGATTAGCATACTTTAAGGAAACATGTTTGATTGGAAAAACACATGTGTATCCGTTACCCATTCCGCCGGTACGCCTAATTGTTTTGCGGCAAAATAAATGTGTGACTGATAATGATTCCTCATTCTCAACCTTTTTTTTCTCAATTGAACTCTCTCTCCTCTCTCTCTCTCTCTCTCTCTATATATATATATATATATATATATATATATATATATATATATATATATATACCTTAATAAATGAAAATGTTTTTGCCACTTGTCATCTTCTTATTTAATATGCCACACGGCTTTTTCTTATAATTTACAAATTTTCTTATGTTCATCCTAAAAATTACACGTAATCTATTTCAAAATTTAAATTAATTTGCTATAAATATGGAAATATAGTCAATCATATTGGTAATTGATCAGCTAAATATCAGCAAATTCTTCCATAAATCTTGGCAAATCTCAAAACCCTAGACATCATCCCACTAGGATCGAAATTGAGGAAGATGACAATTTCTAAAGATTTGTCCAATAAATTAGGTATGTTTCTGAATTGATTTGGAAGTCCCAGAATTTAGGAACGAAATTTATTCCTTAATATCACTATGTATTGAATTATGACTCCAATTCCATTTTTTTTATCAATTTTCTTCGTACTTTTATAATTTGCACCTACATCAATTGGTGTAGATATTGGAACCAGACTACCAGGGGGTTTATCGTGTCCATTTGTTTAAGGATTTTGATCAGAGGTATTAGATTCAAACTCTTTTGCTCATGGTCATTTATAGGTATGTAGATGTCGTTACCATTAAAACTAATGGAGACCATGTTGCCAGAAGAAAATTGACGAAGATAAGGAATTTTGTGACGGTTCTTTATTCCAAATTCCACTATCAACGTTTTATCCTTTTACTTTTTAATTTTGTGCGAGAGTAATCAATTATTTTGATTTCATGTTGATTCTATTCAATTTTTGTGTTGTTGATTACAACAAGGTTCTTAAATTTGGTTTGGCTTCGACAGCACATTAGGGTGAGAAATGCGTTCAACTATCTTCTTTTATATGTTAAACAAGCATAGAGAAAGCAGTGTGTGTCATCTTTATCTCTTCAAATCCTATTTAAATTACTTTGTCTCATCTATGTTTCTTTGTTGTTATCTATATTTATTCATCCGATTCCTTGTTTATTTTTTAATCTTCCCCTTTTTTCCCATTACTGACGGTGAAATGAATCATTACGGCAGTATGTATAGTTTTGATTTGAATTCTTTGTTGTGCAGACATCACTCGTAGGCTGACAGAAATAAAAACAAATCTATTGAGAATGTATGTCACCAGCAATAAGGGGTTTTTAAAATTAATTTATGGAGGATTGCTTTCCATGGTGTGATTTTATTGAAGTTTGACCTGGTTATGATGAATGATTACGCATGTTTTTGGTTGAATATTCAGGGTCAGAGATTGAATAACATATGAGAAGAAAAAAGTCTTCCCTGATTGGAATAACTTGATGAATCCTAGATATAAGTAGAAAGATCTTTGGGTATTTGTGTTAGTTTGATCTTCTTAATTTTTTCAATTAATAAACTCTAAAAGTAAGTAAAAATAATCTTTGAATCTTCTATCAATCTCAACAATACCAAACATGATAAGAATGACGAGCACAGTGGACGGGCACATTTCATCCTTTAGATTCCTCAACAGGAGAGCCTCGATCTGTACAGTTTTTGTTTTTTTATTTCAAAGCTCAACACCATGGCATTTCTATGGTAAGTATTGTTATTATTATTATTTATTTATAGAATCTTATGTAATTTGTTATTTCATTTTAATTAACAAGAATTCATCATCTAAGCGAGTGATAATTTAAATACGTTTATATTTTTGAAGACAACTGCTTTTGTTTATTTGATTTTTACCTTGCTTTTGTTGTGGACATGCCAGATGGCAAAATAAATACAATGCAGAGAAAATGGTTTCTATTTTTGAGAAAGTAGAGGCTATACATGGAACAAACATCTTTGGTCCATAAGTTAGCTCTTTTTTTGTCCTTACTTTTTCTTTTACATATTTGCTCTTGAGTTTAATACCTTTGTTCCTTGAAGTAAAATGATTGCATTACCCTCTTCTCCGGTTCTCCCCAATGATCTTTTCTTCCGCTTTACCATCAATTTATAAGAAAATAATAGTATAAATTTTAAATAAATAACAACTATTTATAAATAACTGCTTGTAAGTTTCCAACTATGTAGATTGTTGACACTAGAATGGTTCTTGTTGGATCAGTAGCGCCGAAGTTGAGGTGGATCCTAAAGAACAAGTTATTCAACAAATCCAGACATACAAAATGCTGAAGGATTCTATTGTGCCCCTAAAATTTCATCATCTTGAGCAGAATAGTGTTCAGTAGGAAAAGACTAATGAAACAGGATTCGAACCAATGCATGATGCAATTTTCTTGTATGACGGTTTTGCAAATCAATGCCTTAAGCCCTTGTGCAATCCCTCGACCGCCTCCCCCATCCACAAAACACGCACACACATAGTCCATCATATGAATTACAATTTTGTTGTTGTCCTAAATATGTGTCTTGGGACAGAGGTAAAAAAAATAGCAAATCTTGAGGTTATGCTATTTTTCAGTAGTTTTATACTTATTTTGCCTTTTTATTTGTTCTTGTGATGGTGAAATTAAGATTTGTATCCAAATACAACTAAAGATGTGTTCTGTTGGTAAATTTCAATGGAATCCAACTCTTTCACATCCAATAAACAAAAACATTAGGTTTTAATCCATAAAATGTATTTGAAATATTTCCATAGTTTTTCTATTAGTACAAATTGAATTAATTACTTATTTATTATTTTGTTTGTATTTATTTTGAAATTTTAATTTAAAAAATGTTTAATGTGTACACCTTGATCTTTGTTTTTTTTAAATCAACCCGTGTAATACACGAGTCTCACACCTAGTATATATATATATATATATATATATATATATATATATATATATATATATTAGACGTTTACCTACGCTAAGCGATGAGTACGAATAATTTTTTTTCATAAGCAAGTTTCTAGATGCGATTATTTCTTTTGAATAAATAGTTGAGTGTTTAGATGTTTTACGTTGTTGATATTGTAGAGATCTTCAAAACATGTAAGGTCATCAATATGCGATAAAAGTAGGTAAAGTTAATATCGTTCCCCTTCACCAAGCACACATTGCCTAATATATTATAATTTACCAAATTATACATTTTTAATTGACAAAAGACATTTTTAATTAAAAAAAATACTATATTAACTAATATTATTTTATGTGAAATCTAAATTACTTAATATTAAGTTGTCGTTTGGGAGATGAAGGGTCGCAGTGGAGAATGGACGGAGGTCCGACGAAGGAAACTGGAGAAGTACAACAGTACGAGACCAAACCCACTCACTAACATCTACGTATATGGCTTTCCTATAGATACTAGGAAAGACGAACTGTGGAAGTCGTTCACCAGATTCGGGAAAGTGGTAGATGTGTATATGGCCGGAAAGAAGGACTTCTACAGGAAGTACTTCGATTTTGTTAGATTTATGGAGGTGAAGGATGAAACAAAGCTTGAGAACCAACTACAAGGTATCAAGTTAAGGGATATAGTGCTCACGGTAAACCTGGAGAAACACAAGAGAAAGACGATTCAGTTCCACAATCTCCCCTGTTGCCGCCTACGGTCTATGCTTCCCATGACCGGAGAACTTATGCTCAGGTTGCTGCCGGTACCAAATCATCGGTTAACCTACCTTAAGACATCGGTGATTCTTAACACTAATACTTACATGAGCAAATGGTTGAATAAAAGGGCCTTAATCGGAGAAGCTCATGGTTTTGATCATATCGGGAATCTCCCGACATCCCTACTCATGAATGAAAACACCAAGTATCTTGGTGGGTTGAACATGACGCTCAGTTTTGGATACTCTGTTGATGCAGATGACTTTCTGAATGATGAATCTAAATGGAGAGATTGGTTCTAATGGTTAGTTAAAGCGGACAAAAAGGAGATACGATACGAATGCACTACGTGGTTGAAGATTCTCGGTCTGCCTCTACAACTATAGGATGAAGATAATTTTTCGGCAATCGCCAGTAGATTTGGAAGAATCGTCGGTCCGTTTGATGGTATCAGTAATCGTAGAGATTACTCGATGGGCAAGGTCGGGGTTCTCACATCTAGAACAAAGTGGATCAACGAGGAGATTAACATTACAGCAGGTGGCATGAAAATCACGGTTGGCGTTGTAGAATACACTGATGACTGGTCTCCGTGCACACCATTACCATTTGACAAAGTATAAGAGGATTCAAGTGATGACGAAGGTGAACTTGAAGATGACGGTATATCTGATATGTGGGTTCAGGAGGTGGAGAAAAATTTGGAGGAAGGGGAAATTCGATCAAAATTCATGGAGGTGAATCGCTCATCTAAAGATCACGTACCAAACGACAACTCTGATATCGTCGATATGGTAGTCGGCATCTCTAAAGTGGCAGGCAATGGTTCAATGACTGCATCTTCGAACAGGTCTCTGGTGGTGGTAGTGCTCTCATCACGTGCCATGGAATTAAGTGTAGACGTTCCATCTCCCCAATGTAAAAAGTCTATAGAGATTCCCAAAAACTTGGAGACTGTGGACGTTGTCACAACTAGCATTTTTAGCTAGGAAATTCTGTCCTCATCTAAACGTCAACTATTGTAAGACTTGTAAGCTAAGTGGATATCATACTCTATGCTCAATTAAAATCATCCATTTGAATCAAAACTCCTGAGTGAAGTTCAATACCTAATACAATGCATCTCGTATACTTAACTATGGGTCTGAAACCCTAAATATCCCGGTTCGAATTTAGTATGGACTAGGATCCTCTTATTGGGCCTAATGGGCCAGTAAACCTTCTATTTGATGATTTTGGACCAATGAAACCCATTTGGGCTCTAGTTGGGCCCACATTCGTCAAACTATAGCAATTGGGCCATGTTGGGCCCAAAATAACTCACTTATTCTCATGGACCTTTATGGGCCGTGAACCACCCTATTGAATCATGATGAGCCGTAAACCCATCCTCTCATGGTGATTGGGCTGTAAACCCCATCCCTTACCACCTTTAGGTCGTGAACCCATAAGAAGGGCCCAATGGGCCGAGAATCTTCATGATTGGGCCAAAGACCTCGAAAATATTCAATGGGGGCCCAAACATTTTTTCCCTTCTCTTTTCCTTTCCCCATTCTCGGCCCACTCATTCAAAAAAAAAACAAAATAGTGAATTAATGGCTTGACACCTCATGTTTACATGGTGAATATCCATGCAATACACAACATACAACAAGAAAAATCTCATACATCCATGAAATGTCATTTCAAACTTCTCTCTTCTCTCTTCTTCTTCTTACCCTCGGCCCAAACAAAACCATCACCACCTCCATTTTACTATCAAACCTACTCAAACACTCCTCTCTAAAAACACTCAAATAAACCTCCTCTATTCTTCCTAGAAATCGTGGTGATTGTGTGTGAGTTCAAGAATACATCATCAAAGTTCATCATATTGGTAAGATATCATACATTCTAGTGTTTAACGTCATCATATGATAAATCCTCCATCCAATAACACCTCATTCGTGATCCATGCTCTAGATTCACCTTAGGTTCGAGATCTACTCAAGAAAGCTTGTCAAGGGCCGAGATCTTCTCATTTCCTCACCAAAAACCAAAATCTCCAAAGCAAATTGAGTTCATACCCCCTATTTTCGATTTTTACTATGTTTTGGGGGAGAATACAAGTTGTTTTGTGTAGATCTATGTGTATATGCATGATTATGTGTGTTTTTCATGTTATATGTTGTGTTATGTGTTTAACTTTTGGATCTTTACTTGAACATGAAGTTTATCACTTAGATCTTCATAAAAACCATGAGAAAAGTATGTGTTGTCTTATATATTACATGTGAACTTGTAGATCTGAGATTTTACACTCAAAATAGCAAAAACAAGTGTTGTGTTCAAATATATAACCTAAACTCAAAAATCAGCTTTTAACAGAAACGTTTTGGACTAATTACGGGCTGTTTTGACCACCTTAATTATAATATTTTTCAAAACTGTTTTACATGAAAAAATTTCAGGTTTATACCTTTAAAATGACTACTCTCACGTGTTCATACGAATTTTATACAATTTTTGGCGATTTTTACAAAACTGCCTATCATTTCAGGAATGATTTCGGACCAGTCTGTGAAGATGAACATTTGCACACTAGTTTGAGGCCATTAAAAATTATAAAAAAAATTATGAACAAAGTAGACTCATTTTCCAAACTCTCAGAGTTTACGGATCCAAATTTCGACTTACGATGATTTTTATATAATTTTTCTAAAAACAGGGACAGAAATGTCAAAAACAAGAAATTATTTTTATCATGCTAAAAGCTGTTATACATGTATTAGATGCAAATTTGTATAACTTATATATACTTTTAAAACATTTAGACATGTTAACTTATATGTACTTAATATATATATATATATATATATATATATATATATATATATATATATATATATATATATATATATATATATATATACGTCCTTATTGGGCCTCGGAATAATATACATGTTTAGTGGGCTTTAGTGTCCTTTTACATGCTTAGTGGGCCTTAGTGTCCTTTTGCATGTTTAGTGGGCCTTAGTGTCCTTTTACATGTTTAGTGGGTCTTAGTGTCATTTTACATGCTTAGTGGGCCTTAGTGTCCTTTTGCATGTTTAGTGGGCCTTAGTGTCCTTTTACATGTTTTGTGAGCCTTAGTTGTCCTTTTACATGTATATTGGGTCCGGGATATATAATCTCATTCCTTTTGAGCCTAGAAATACCTTACATGCTTAGTGGGCCTTAGTTGTCCACTTACATGTTCAGTGGGCCTCGAATGTACTTTATATGTTTTTCTTCGCATAAATTCGATTAAGGATCTAGTGAGACGTGTCGGTTGACACCTATTGAGTGTACGATCGTAGCATGTAGTTATAACCAGAGTCTCTTGGAGGGAGAGCGGGGGTTTGTGTATAGATCTATACGGGGATGACACCCCACACCTGAGTTGTTCGCTACAGTTAGACTAGACCAGTCTAGGGTGACAAAAACCTTATTCTATTCCGTCGGCGTCCATAAACACCAATACAGGCGAAATTGTCAATATCTAGTATGGTTATAATGACTCACTTAGAGAAATTAATGTTATAAAATCTACGAGAAACCACTCTCTTTTCTCTTTGGATTAGTCGGTAACATACTCGCACTGGTACTCAACCTCGGGGGTTGATATATCAGCATTCTCTTTCGCAGACAACATCGGGTTGTCTGGGGTCATTCTCTTTATATTCTTTTTTCTCTTTGGATTACTCGGCAACATACTCGCGCTGGTACTCAACCTCGGGGGTTGAGATGCCAGCTTTCTCTTTCAAAGACAACATCGGGTTGTCTGGGGTCATTCTCATTATATTCTCTTTGTTATTCTCTCCATACTCTCTTTACATTCTAGCAAACATTAACACACATGCATTAATACAAGATCGGACACAAACATATCAAACTGTTTTTCTGAAAATATCGGATTTTCTGGTGTTTACAAAGTAATACAAATCATTTTCTCAAACATGCTTATGAACTCACCAACATTTTTATGTTGACCTTTTTAAATTAACTTGTATTCTCAGTAAACCGTTGAGCAGGTTGGGCAGAAAGAATTCATGGATATTTTGTCATATTTTGTTTCATCATACTTTAACTATTTTGGCATGTAATATTGAAATACAATACTCGATGTAAACTATGAATGTTGTTATATTACATGTGTGATGATGATGATGTTATGTTTCAGTTATATACTATGTGATGATACTACAAAATTGAAGTCACGTCAAGCCCCCGGACGTTTCCGCCGTCTGGTTTGGGGGTGTGACAGTTAATACACTAATCTCAGATAACATGGTGAATATGATCCCGGGTCAGACACAAACAACCCAACTACTTGGCAATACCCAACCTCACACATTTGGGCCGGATAACAATAGGCTCCCTACTGGGTGCTTTGGACCGTTCCCGAACTCTCTTCATACGCCGACCCAGCGGATCCACCCAACAAAACAAATAGACTCCAAGACTGGTGGTAACATGACCAAAAGAAGAAAAAGAAATAGATTAGGGAATCGCATCTCTCCTCTTCTAGTTGTCGGTGATCCACCGATCATCGATGTATGTAATGCCCGTGTTTCTGAGCTACGCATTAGTATGATGATGTAATAGTCAATGTCAAACATTGTAACTCATTTTGAAGTAATAAAGATGAATTACTTGAATATTATATGATTTTATGTACTTATATACTTGTCTATAAACATATAATAAATCAAGAAAAATAAACGTCAAAAATAAAATGTTAGATAAACCCGATATTTACGAATAAAGTTGTAGTGGTCGTGACAATGATTCCAGACATATAAAGAACGCCGAAATCCGAGTTATAACGAAGAAGTTATGACATGTCGAAGTTTTACGACTAAACCGGCACGACACCGCGAACGTAAAAGTGAATTTTTTATAAACTAATTTTTAGCCTTAGAGATCTAAGTGAAAGTTATAGTATACGTTAAACCGAGAGTGTGCATAAAAAGAACGCCCAAATCTAACTTCGTATGAGGAGATTATGATTTTTCTAAGATTTGGCATAGCAGTGCACAGCCCGGAAATCGAATTTTGAATCGATCGATTTTTAGCCGACACAAACTAAATGAGAATTTAAGATCTCATTAATAAGAGTTCAACGATAAAAAGACAGACGAAAACGGAGTCTGTATGTAGAAGTTATGAATTTTACACAGTCGTTAAACAGTGTAAATTTCTCATACTGTTAAATTTAAAATCAGTCGAGAGTTAGCCAATGGATTCAAAAGGAGAGCTGTACATCTTGTCAATACCTACGTGTGGATATAAAGAGCGTCGAAAATAGAGCTCGTATGTGAAAGTTATGGGGTTTAGAAGTCGGCAGGGTGCTGCTGCGAAGGGGGCGACGTGGTTGAATCTAGGTCATTGCTTTCTTCCCAAGCCTTGCCACCAGATGGTGACATGTGGCACCAACTTGACGAGTTTGAGTCCAAAACTTTACGAGTTGAGCTGTGTTTCAACCTATAAATACCTTGCGAGATCACCTTCATTTCTCACACCAAAACTCACTTCCCTCTCACTCTAACTTCTCTCTAAACCTCCCAAAACCCCTCTAAAGCCCTAGTAACCTCAAGGTGCTAGAGGAAAGCCTCGGAGCACCCGAAGGCTCCGATAAAAAGAGCTTTTTAGCTCAGAAGCTCTGTTCCAGCGGAGCCCAGTTTTTCAGAAAACCCGTTGTAAGTGAGATACGCCTACCCTATTTTAAATATAGCTTATATTTAAATATAATATCGTTATTATGAACCTATAAATAAGATTTATCAGTGGTTCAAAGTCGTTATACTGATCGAACTACTTACGGGAGAGGTGTCTAGAATGTTCGCGTTGGGTTTGGTTGTTGGATTTCAGAAAACTATATGCCGAAATGGTCTTGCCTCCCAACTGTCCTGCCTAGCTGATCCTTACTTGATAGATCATGAAGTAGACTCTAATTTAATGATGAATC